CAAGTTGCTTATGTTTTATTATTATTATTGTCTGAGAGAGAGAGAGAGAGAGAGAGAGAGAGAGAGAGGAGAGAGAGGCTGATGGTCGCCCCCCCCGCCCCCCCCGTTATGCAGTCACTGGCTGCCTCTGGTACGTGCCCGGACTGGAGATGTATGCTGCAGCCTTGACGTAGGGGGGTGACACTCTGCCCAACTGAACTACCCGGCCATCTTGTTTATGCGGCAGGAAAAGGGCCCTGTTTCTGCCCAGAGACCCCGAGGCTTATGCTCACCCAGAAGGAGCCTCACCCCCGAGCCAGAGACAGGCATAACCCCAAGCCGAAACCCCCCGAGTGCCTGGGCCCCAGAGGGAGGGCTCCCCAAGCAGCTGACCCCACCACCACTTGTTGACGGGTGTTCTCTGATCCAGAAACGGCCCCTTTTTCCCAGCCAGTGGTTAGAGCGTCGACCTCTGCGCCAGGGGGCCACCATTGGATTCCCAGGGGGGCACATGCTGGGGTTGGGGGCTCCATCCGCAATGCGGGGCGGGGGGGGGGCTGCAGGAGGCAGCTGATCCATGATTTTCTCTCACCAATGGTGTTTCTCTCTCTCTCTCCCCCCCTCTCCCCCTCTCCCTTCCTCTCTGACGTCAGTAAAAATACATTAGAAAAAAAAAAAAAAGAAAAGAAAGACATGGCCCTTTAGGAGCCCCTTCCATGTACGCCGCAATTAAGTGTGTTGAATTCTAACCTAATCCACTTGGGCTCTGCGTTTCCCTCCCGTCGCAAATGAATTGCAGATTCACTGGAGCCTGAGGTGTTGGTTTTTTTCTGAAAAGCAGAGGCGATGCAGGCATTGGGTGGGGGGGCGCTGGTGAGGATGCAGCAAGGACCAGGCCAGGTGAGGGAGGGGCCCCCATGGCCCCCCCTTTCTATCTCTGCCCCTAAAAGGGGGGGCCCTGTGGTTATTATGGGGGGGCACTCCATACGCTCAGGGAACCAGGGAGACCGCCCCCCCTGGGCCCCACAGGACACCTCCTACGTGAGGCCACTCCACCAGGACCTACGCCATAGACACCACACGGGGAGGCAGCTAAAAGGAGGGGACACAGAGACACAAGTGCCCAGGGAAAAGGACCCAACAAGATGGACACGCATGATTCACGGGGGGCGGGGGGGGGCAGAGTTCAGAACAGTGGTCGTCAGGAGGCTCCGACGTAGGAGAAGAGCGGACTCGGGGAGGAATCGACAGTAGGTAAGATGACGCAGAGGAGTGAGTCAGAGGCCACCAGAGGTAGCAGAACACACCCAGTCAGAACCGCAAAAAGGAAGAAAAAAATAAAAGAATCTAAAAAAAAAGTATGTGAGGATAATTTGAGGGGCCTCTGGGACCACCACAGACGTAACAGCATTCACAGCACAGGGGTCGCGGGACGAAGAGAGCGAGCAAGGGATGGAGAACCCATTTGAGAAAAAAAAATGAGTGAAAACTTCCCTCACCTGGTGAAAGAAAAAGGCACCCAAGGCCCAGGAAGCCCGACAGGGAGCCCCAAACAGGGGAGCCGAAGCCCCCCTTCCCCCAGCACACGTCCTAATCAAAACGCCAAAGGCCCGAGACAGAGAGAGAAACTTAAAAGCAGCAGGAGAGGAGGAGGTCGGTACCTGCCAGGGAGCCCCCCCCCCCCAGGTTTGTCAGCCGAAGAAGGGAGTGACGGAAAGCAAGGACCCACCACCAAGCCCACTCTACCCGGCCAGGCTGTCATCCGGCACAGGACAGACGAGAAAAAGCAAGGACAGGAGAGGTAAAACGGCGTCTGTAAGGAAGAAGGTGATCAGAACACCTACACACCCAGCAATAATCAATGTAGACATGTAAAGGGGTCCAATGCCCCATCCAAAGACACAAGGGGGTGGGGTGGGGGCGTGAATGGATAAGAAAACAAGACCCAGACACATGCCTCTGCCTACAGTTGGAGAGACACACAGACTCGAAGTACAGGGATGGAAAAAGATAATTTATGCAAATGGGGAAAGAGAAAAAAAAAAAAAGCTGGGGTAGCAATACTTCATGCCGGACAAAATACACCGTCCAACAAAGGCTGTCCCAGGAGCCAGAGACGGACACAGCCACCGTAGTTTCAGGTGTTGATTTGAGGAAACACCTTCATTCTCAGAAGGACATACGCCTTCCCGCGTCCTTGCAGCCTTATGTACAAACAGCCGAGGGGAGGAGGCCGCGGGGAAGAAGACGGGGTGCAGAGACACCACGGAATAGCACTCGGCCATTAAAAAAGGAAAAAAAAAATAAAGAAGAATGAAATCTTTCCATTTTGGGGACAGCGCAGGGGGAGCTCAAGGGCCAGGGAGGAAGGAAATAAGCCAGAGAGAGAGAGACAGGCAGACACTAGGGATTTCACTTACGCGTGGAATCCAAAAAACCCCCCCAAAAAACCCCAAATAAATGAACCAACAAAACAGAAAAACAAACCCCAACACCTCAGAGATACAGAGGACATTTTGATGGTTGGCAGATGGGAGGGGCGGTTTGGGGCGGTTTTGGGGGGGTGGGTTGGGTGGAAAAGGTGAAGGGAATCACATAATATATTGATTTTCCATAACAGACGCCCCGTTAGGAAACCAGTCGCGCGGGCAGCTCGGGGACGAGACGGGCATCGCGCGTAATAACTTTGTGTCTCGCAGACGTGCCCCGCGTACCCACCGGGGCGGTCACGTCTCCAGTTACATAAACGTGGCATCCCTGTGGTCGGACGCCTGGAGCGGACGCACTGCTGCAGCTCACTTGTGGAGAAGTAACACTGTAAATATATATATTTAAAAACAATAGAAACCCCTGTGCCAGCAGTAAAGCCCCACCGACGACGACAGCGGTCGGGAAAGCAAAGCCACGCGAGG